ATTTAAATTAAATTTCTTATTTAATATATATTGTAATTATCTTTTTAAAATGAAAATAAAATAACAATAAATATATTAAATTATATCATAAAATAGAAATCTGGACAATTAAATTTAAATGCTTTAAATAAAAAATTAAATTTATTAAAAATAAATAGATAGAGTAATTTTTTCATTTTATTTATTTGTGATTATTAAAAAAAATTTATTACAATAATTAAAACTTTCATTTTCACCCTTCCTTAAACGAACAAATTGTAATGTAATAATTTATTTCTTTTAAAATAAAAGTAAAATTAAAACATTAACATTTATTGTATATTTAGATTGAAAGAAGGAGAGGGGAGGGAAACTCTTCTTTTTCTTTATTTCCCTTAACTTAAATATAATATTAATGTATTATTAAAATAAAATATAAAACAATTAAATCTGACTATACTTATTAAAAAAAATAGAATAACTAAATCTAATAGTAAGGAATAATTTAAAAAGTCGAGGCCCACTTTATTTTTTTGGTTGATATTTATATTAAATCATATACTAAAAAGATGGCATATTAATTCCCTATTTATGGCTTGCTTTTTTTCTTTTTTTTTTTCTGAGAAAACCTATTTATAGCTTGCTCTATAAATAAAATAATCATGTAGGACGGTGTACAAGATTCAAAGAAAGAAAACAGGTAGGTACAAGCAAAAGTAGCAGCTGGAGGAGCAATGAAGAAAGTGACTGTAACAGTGTAACCTCACCTGCAGTAAACGTTAAAAGTAGAGAGAGAGTGGTAGTCTTTGAAGCAGAATAGGTACTCATCAGTACTTGAGTTCACTTCCCCTGCATGTTTAATTAAAGGAGTCAGAATTACTCCCCCTCTTTTTTTTTTTCAAAAACCATACACATAAACCAAATTGCAAAGAAAGCATAAAATAGAAGGAATCCCTATTCCTTATTCTCACTAATTTTCTTCGAGTAAGTGTCGGTCGAGACTTAAGAATTGATGCAATCAAGGATTAGACTTGGTATAATTATTTCAAGTGGTAATCTCTCCTCTAAGTTATTAAGGACAGCAAATCACCACTATGAATTTTCAGAGTCATGAATCTATAAGTTTTAAATTCCCTATATTAGTATTATAATTGTAAATATATTATATATACATATATTATTCTCAAATTAAATTAAATTTAGTCTTTGTAATTCCATATATATTGTACAGCACTGTTTTTTGTGAATATTGAGTTTAAGTAATATAGTATATAGGTTCATTAGTTTAATAAATAAAAAATGGTTACTTTTTATTATCTAATTCAAAATAAAAATAAAAATAAAACACTCCATGCATCCAACCAAACATAACCTCAAAGTGTTAAAAAGCAGTTTTTTTTTTTTTTTTCATTTGTTCCCCTTTCTGATGAACAAGGGCAAATGATCATGATCACTTGAAGAAATGAAATGATGATTGATGAAACTTGAAAGATCGACGTTCCCCAATACGGTCGGAAAACCCAATTGTGGTTGATCACAAACAAGGTAGTACCTATTCAACTACCCCATATGTGACACAAAACCAAAAAAAGGAAAAGCAATAGCAAGATGTCAATTAATTTGCAGCAGAGAGATAGAGAGATAGCTAACCTGAATTTTGCTTCATTTCTGGAATGTAGTAGAACAAACCACAGCCAGCAGCAACAATACAGTTTTTTTTATCAATCAAAAAATGAATTTGTATTCAGGGGCCGGGTTTAACAAAAATACTAATTAAATTGCTCTTTTCCATTCCACAAGACAAAGAAGCAGCCAAAGGAAATCTCTGGCAATCATTTCTTTTGAAAAAAAAAAAAGAAAAAAAAAAAGAAAGAAAGCCAAAGTCCAAAGAAAGCGACTGTTCAAGAGGAACTGCACGTTGGAGAAGGAACTGTACTGTTTAAGTGGCAAACTAGGAAAAAGAGATATATCTGAAACGATATGTAACAACAGTTTTGTTTTTAAAGATAGAGAGAGGTGAAGGAAAGAAAGAACCACATAGATATACTGTTATATAGGGAGAGGGTATAAATAATCAATGGGCTTTTGCCTTTTGTACCCGTGGTCCAAGGGAAAAAATATACAGTTCCTGTTTGCACTATTTATAAAACATTTTTTTAAAACATAATTAATTAAAGTTTTTAAAAACATTAATTAAATTGATTGCATATTGTTAAATAATAAATAAAAATCGTTTTCACAACTATCAATTGTTATTAATAGTCCAACCAAATAAAGCCAGAAGCTGAAGTTGCAAATGCATAAAAAAGACAAGAAACTGAAGTTAGCTATTTTTCCAATTAAGCTTTTGAACTTAATTTTATATATATATATATTGAGAAAAAGATAGAAGTATGCTCCTATCACTGACAAAGAAGGGAAGAGCAGGGCTTTTTTTTTTTAATAATATATATATGGTAGTAGTTTGTTTGCTTGGATTTGGTTGCTTTCTTTGAGTGGAGTTGCGTGATCTTATGGCAGTGTTAGGTGTTGTGTAGACTGAACCCCATGGCCTACTGTTCAGTGCTGCACTCTTTGTTGCTGGCCAATTAGCTAGGAATATTATCTTTAGTGTAAAAGAAAAGTTAGACAAAATACAAGTGTTTTTTTTTTTTTTTCCATTTTTTTAGGAATCTTAAGCCTCTACTGATATATATCAGTCTGTGAAGCTGCAATTTTTCCAGAATTGATTCATACACTTTTGGGAGTGTTATGGCAGGCCAAATTATTGCTTAAATGCAGAAATCATATGCAGTTGCTGCCATTGCTTTGATCGAGAATCCTGTCTCTCTGTTCGGATCTTTACGAATCTCACGTTTGTAGCAATAATTTTGTACTAAATATAGCACCTCAAACCCCCCCCCCCCCCTTTCACCAACATGTATGTTGTTGCTTATGTGATAACTACACTAAACAACCTGGGAAACAAGTCATCTTCAAAGCAATTTTTTTTCATCGGCTACGGAAATTAATACTATTTAATATTGCAGCCACTTGAAATTTGAACTTAACTTTAAAATCACAGTTACAAGGGACTAGTGAGTATTGAGTACGAATTTTGCACGCATCTTATTCTTACCAACTAGACTATTTCCATGGTCATCTAGTTGATGATAACTGAAATTGTAGAACAAATACGGTGGTTTAATTATGTATGTTGCCAAAATTAGAGACAACACAGGAGCTACAGTTTGAACGTCCAAACTTTTTGAGGGTTGAGATTTTAAGAATTCGTGTAATACAGCAGAAGCCAAATGGTAGTTAATTTGAAACAGGGGAAACACTATTTCACGGTAAAAGGTTTAGGTTCTCAAAGTTGGTGGGAATAGTAGAATGCAGGTGCAGCCCCCTCCTTCCTAGCTAAAAACAGGAAAGTATTGGCTCCATAACTTGCCCAGGTTAAGAGGTCAAAAGTGGGGAAAAGAGATATCTTTGCGGTACGAACCGGATCAAATCTCTGTGATCTAGGATTGAATATTTCTCTGAAACATTGACCTAAATTCAGAAAATCCGGGTTGATATCGCAAACTAGCAAAGAATATACATATACATATATTTATATTATTGACATTAAGAGATTAATTATTAAAATTTATGGCATTCCCACGTGCCGTGGATCAATGGTTACTTGTTGTCTCAAAAGGCAGCCCGTGGTTTGCACTTTTAAGTCTCGGATTTAATAAGTCTCGGATTTAATACCTCTCACTAACATTTTTAACGTACTAACTTTTAATTATTGTTCTTATAAAAAATATATATATATTAAAATTTATGTAAATATAATTTGTAAAAATTATATAATATATATGTTGGCTTAATTCAATTATTAATCTATTAACTATCAATTTAATTTCATTTTAGTTTAGAAAGTTTATTTTCTTTTCAAATAGTTTATGAATTTTGGAGAATATTTCAAAATAATTTATCGTATAATTTTTTTTTTAGATTTAATGAAAAAGAATAGTTTTTTAAGTTTTAAAAAAAGTGACACTATAATCCTAATAAAATATAATGACTCAAGAAATATTTTATAAAGATAGATTAGTTAAAATTTATAATAAACTTGAGCAACTATCTCAATTCAAATATAAAAACTTAGTAAGTTTAGAACGAAAAGTTTAAAGAGTAAGTTTGTTTTACAGAGCAGATTGTATGTAATCCGTCTTGTAAAATTATTTAAATGTCTTAAAAAATAATATAAAAATAAATTAAGGGTATTTAAATAATTTTACAGGATGGACTGCGTACAATCTACCTTGTATAACAGTTTTTTAAAAAGCAAATTTAACAAGATAAGAATAAAAACTATTTTTATAATGAATATAAATTTAAGAACTAAAAAATCAAAAGAAGTATAATTAGAGGACTAAATATTTTGTTGTAGAATAAGAATATTTCTGTTAAAGATAACGTACTAGAAAAAATTAAAATAAATGTGAAAAATAATATATATGATTGAAAGAATTTAAAGATAATAGATAAAACTAAAAAAAATATAAGAGTTAATAGATAATTTGTTAAATCAACCCTATATATGTTAGAAGAGTTTCGTATTTTGTCTTGGACTACAAAAGCAAGAAGCATTAAATAGGAAATAGCCTTGAATATCATAGTTTATTCCTATATAATAATTTAAATTATACAGTTTAAACTGTAAACACATTTTGATTTTAATAATAATATAATTATAATATCACATATAATTATAATATTTTATTAAATAAATAAATATATTTAATATTATAGACAAACCTATTAATAAACAATATAAATTATATATATATTACATTATAATTGTAAACTAGTAACATTATACCTATAACATTTTTAATTTTGTTTGGGCAAAGAAGATAAAACATGGTAACAAATACAAATATGAATATCCATTGTGTGTTAAAATATTTACACGTACAAAATGTGCATTTTCAAGAAGATAATAAATCTTCAATTGTGGAACTGTGGGGAAGTTGGAATGGCTTACAGAAATTTTGGGGCCGAATTACCAATGTGACCCATACGTCACCTCCATTTCCTTCAGTTTCATCAGTCCCATAGGAACTGAGAAGAGGAGCGTTTTGAATCCCAGCCTGAGCTTCTAGCCTTGCCTTCCAAACAGATTGCTCTCTATTGGTTGTGATCACAAATACTCCTACCAGAACATCGATCCATTTCCCTTTTCTACATAAAAAGGAGGGTAGGGAAGAAAGAAACTAAGCTGTAGATACATTTGTGTACAAGTTCCATATAAACCAAAGCTCAGAACCAGAATACAACATCATCTTTCAGATGTCCTAACATTTTCTTCCTCCTACAGAAGCACTATTGGACACGGAACTTTGTGACCATGATGATGGTTTGAAGCCCCCTGCTAGCAAGTTGGATGCTGCAGCTGCACAGATTTTCCTTCTCTTGGACTCCAGCTCCATGCGTTTCTTATTTGACATGGAAGACCCAAATGAATCAGAAAAAATTGAAGCGGCTTTAATCATAGCTCGCTTATCTTTCCTATTTCTATCAAATTTGGAAGAGAATTTCACATGTGAAGCAGTAGCAGCATCTTCTTCAGTTGCAGGAAGAAATTGAATACCAAGGCCCTTTTTTCTGCAAGCAACTTTCTCTTCAGTAACCCTCTTCTTTTGAAACTGGAAAAAGCAAAATAAGTGCGTAAACTTGGAACTAAGTTTGTATAAATTTGAATAAAGAACGTTAACTAATCAGAGATCCATAACATACTCTAAGTTTGGCACGAAGAGCTTTGTTGAGGGCATAGTCATCTGAATGTCTGGCATCAGATACTCACTGGAGGCGCACTAGTACTGGCTCAGCTTCCTTCTTCTTCTGCAAATCCCCTTCCTGGTGTTCAAGACGGTAAAATGGGTCCGCAAGTTTACCTCTTTCTGTATAAAAACGAACTCAACAGTTAAAACCCACTAAAACTTCGTATAAAAGTCAGATGAAAAATGTGCTTTGCCTTGCTAATGTGGGCTAACAACATGACCAACATCTAGACAACTTCTTACAGAACATGGGAACCAAATATTGAACAGGAAGTTCACACTTTGTCAAAATCATGAAAATCCTGTCATGTGTTTGATGTAGATAAAGTTTACATGCATGTTGCAGAGTGTGCCCCATAAAAATATGATCATATGGGAGAGAATAGGTATCAACCTTCATCTGCAGGGAGTTCTGATGTCTCTGCATCCTCCACATCAAACTCTTCAACTTTCTTTTGAGCCTACTAATAATCACATACTCACAATTCTTTGGATCTGTCTGAATAACAATCTCATGTTTGCAGCATGGAGATTTCATGGTAAAGCTTCATATCTAAAAGAAGCAAAAAAATTGTTAGTAAAAAATCATTAAATAAGGAAAATCTAATGCTAATTCACAGATTAAGTATCCCATCCAAACTTATGTAATACCTTCGTAGAGTAATAATTTCCCACTTGCTTCTTTTCTGCATTAAATCAAACACCCTTTGCAATCATAGAATTGCACCCACCACACCAGACATGGAAAGGCATTTCGAACCTGAAACAAAACAATAATTGAAAGTAGGTTATATATCAATCACCAATCCAGAGAAAAAAATTTTCAAAACAGCAGTAAATAATCAAGCACCTATTTGCAAGTAAACTATAAACAAAATTAACTCTTTTGCATTTTCAGTAGTTGCTGTCAGTTCATCTACAGAAAGATATTTTACTTTCTATAGTAATTTCTCAAGTACTTGAAAAGAAAGCAAGAATCTGACTTTCCAAGCATCCACGACTCAAGGGTTGCTCTAACATAGCAAAAGAGATCAATTTCTTCAACAAATGCCCAATTAATTTTTGTTAACAAAGTTAGACCTATCATCCCTTCAGAAGAATTTTATTCTAAAGTTGATAGGACAACCAAAAAAGTAGTGAGCACTATCCTCATTACCAACCATATAATCGAGAGAGTGTGAAATAACGCTTATTGCCTTACTACATGGACTTAGCTATGTTCAATTATCAGATGTCACCAACAATGCATAAAGACAAATTTTAAATACCAAAGTTTAGCACGACTTGTGATTCATTACCTTATAATCAAAATCCCTTGATCTATTTTCCTTGCCCTCTCCCTCAAATCATGCTGGCCATGAAACTTGTTCAAAGAACCCTGCAACAGAAGCAATGATAGAATCCATAAATGATATATTCTAACAATGTGCTAATAAAAAAACACAACTAAAATGACTAATAATAAGAATATAAAGCATTCATACGTGACTTGGATCCCATTCTGGAGGGTAGTAAAAATTGTCTGCTCTAGCTGCTGCAAGTGAAGACTGCATAAGTACAAATAGACTTATTTATCATTTTTACATGAATAGGCGAAGCAAAAGAGGAAAAAAAAAAAAAAAAAAAAAATATTAACCCAACACCTAAACTCTATTAAAGTTTTCATCTTAAAAACAAAAAAGAGTTAGAACCCAGTACAATAAAAATTTAGATATGTCCGATACATCTACTTAGAGTGAAACTTAAAAGTGCAAGCAAACACCAAAAATCATCCCCCAAAATAAATTACAAGAACTTCTGGCGGCAGAAGTTCAGATAAATTTTAAGTAACACAACTACTTCAGATATTTGAAAAATGACAGTCCCCACCAAAGTAACCGAAACTATTTTTATGTTTATGGTGCTTTGGCAGCTTGGCTGAGAAGTTGTATGACAATTGAAACATATGAACCATGCTAAATCTAATCAAATTATTATCATAGAATTAGAGTGCTCAAGTAACAAATTCAATACAAAATTAACTGCTAATTAATAAATTAAAAGCTTAATAAGAATAAATTAATCTATGGAACATGATCATCAATCAATAACAAGAATTAATGACGGAAACTGCTAAATAAACTCAAATATTAAGCACATGAAACTGAATCACTATAAGGGAATTATAAGATCTGAAACTAAATCTAAATAATATGAAACCCAAATTCTAGAAGAGAAAAAACCAAAATTCGTACAATAAACCTCCAAATTTTAATTTTTATTTGAAAAAAAAGAAAAACCAGAGATGCAATGTTCGCTTACCATCTTCAATTTCCCTTCTTCTTCGCTTTCTTCTTCTTCCTCAGAATCAGTCGTTTGGATGAAAACGAAATTTACTTCGCAGAAAGGTGTCTGGTCTTCTTACCTTTTTTCTGTATATCTTTATTTTATCAAGGTTAAATCCTTAATTTGGTCCCTCAACTATTGTATAGATGTCTAATTTGGTCTTTAAACTAAAAAATCTCTAATTTGGTCCTTATTATTTACCAATTTAACTCCAAGTTTGTTCATCCATTAAAAAATAACTAACATATCCATTATTTAATGGTAGAAACCGTTATTTAACAGTCATGTGTCATATCAATAATAAGATACATTATCTATTTTTGTATAAAAAGATCAACTTAAAGTCAAATTTATAAGTAATAAAGATTAAATTAAAAATTTTTTTAGTTTAAAAACTAAATCAAGGGCCTCTATAATGATTGAGGGACCAAATTGGGGGGGTTTAACGGTTTATTTATTTATTAAGGTCTGTTTAACAAAGGGCAATATTTTAGGGGTAAAACCATATGTTAAGCTCCTAAACTAACTCAAAATTTATTATTAAGTCCTAAAACTTTAATCGATATATAAGCCCCTAAACTCCACTATTTGAGCAATTTAACCTTTGTTCTTATAGTAGTTAAAGAATTAAGGATTAAATTGCTCAGATCATAAAGTCAAAGGGCTTATACGCATCATTTAAAGTCTGGGGCTCAATGACGAATCGGAGGTTAGTTCAGGGGCTTAATATATGGTTCTGCCTATTTAGGGAGGGAGGGGGTAAGTAGGAATTGTAGCCCTCAAGCTCTTCGGCTTCAAGGGGTAAACGAGTTGGCCCAGCTCGGCTGGTTCAAGCCTGTTTATTTTTGACGGTCGGGTAGGGGTGAGGATTGAGTATCTTACGCCAATTATTTATAAGTATTTTATTTATTTAGGTGTATATTATATGAAAATAGTATTTATTTATTTTATCTCTTAAATATTAAAGAAAAATTATTATAAAACTCTATTATTTTAATA